GAGAGTTGAGACATTCAAAGTCAACCTGCAAATTCAAAGGATATTTTTGATGTGGGCTCAAACGCAGGCAAGCTGTGAGCATTTGTGAGCTACTGTTATTGCTGGGATAGCATGTCAGCACATCGCCCTTCTTAGGTCACAGATTCATTTATTGTTTGTTGATATCCACCATGCCATGTTTAGCGGTTGTATTTCCACATTCTTTCATTGGTACGTTCCATGTCATCTCCCCTTCGATTCCTACGTTACTGATTGGATACATCGCATATATCTCTGAATTTTGATGATTATGATGGTTTTGACAATGGTCTGAACTGGGAATGGGTCAATCCTGTCAGTACCCATTGGGACCATTTGTTGGTGATGAATATCCATTTGGCAGCTACATGATGTGAAGATCAAGGTACCAGATCCACCAATGTTGTGCCAACATCAATCCATTTACAGTATACCAAACTTCGTCCACGACTAAAACAAAAACCTTAATTAGAACATATCATAAAATATCCAACTAGAACCATTCGAAGAATGTGTTTGTTCCCTGTTCAGCTTCCCTAAATTTCAAGATTCTCCCGCCAAACCATGATTTTCCTTAAAAGAAGAAACTACAGACAGATATGGGTATGGGTCAATACCTATAGATACATTTTTAGTGGGATGAACATCCATAAATCCCAGCTATTTTGATGTGAACTACAGGGGTACTATTGGTTTTGACCCATCCCCATATTCCCATAAACTTCTGTGATTTTCCAGACAGAAACCAACAGCATCACCAGATCTTCCGCGCCATGGCGCGAGTCGCATCTCGGTCGCGCTCCCGGTCCCGCGGCTCCCGCGGATCCTGTGGCGCCCGAACAACGCGGCGCAGCCAAGTGGGAGATCTGGAGACCCAGTGATGGAAGAGTCCCGTAAAAAAAAAACATGTGGAAAAGCCACCATTTTATAAATCATGTTCCTAGGGAAGCCATGGGTTGTCCACATCTCAGTTTAACCATGTTTATCCGATCGGGTAAGTGGTTAGTAAACGGATGTAAATTGCTCAGTTTTTTTTAATGGTAAACTGAATGGGGACTTAGTAAGCAGGGGTATTGCCCAGGTAAGTGGGATCATCCCAGATCTGCCTGGAGGAGATCAGCATCTGCCTACCCAGCGGTCGCTGTGCCACCCTTTCCATCTCTTCAACTTCGACGGTGGAGGTGCTGAAACGCCAAGCACTAGACGCCTTGGGGTTGGGAGGCTCTCTGAAGTTGTTGGACCCGGATGGCTCTGTGCTGCAACCAGGGAAGTCCCTGGAAAAAGACACTTGGTGAGACTAGTGGAAATACCTGGGGATCGAAGGATATACAAATTTCATCAAATTTCTATACTTCCCATGAAGCAAGCGCATAACCTGTCAAAGCTGCATTGGGTCACCCAGGGCCCAATTCTGACGTGTGTCCTATCCAGCCAAATCTCACCCAGTTCCACCTCTTTATTGATATTTTCGATATTGGTGATACACTAAACACAAGGCAACACGCTCTGTTTTGATGCTTCCAAAATAATTTTAAGGCAACTTTTACTCTGACTCTGACGTCTTAAGTCTTGGGTTCTCCATCACCCATATTTCTTCGTGACAGTCAGTGGATTGGGATAGCGCATCACCCAACATTCTGGGTGACATTTTGATCTCTGAAATTCTCTGAAACTCCCGACCTTTACTGGCTAGTTATCCACATTTTTCGAGGTGAAACCGCCAGTTTTGCTGGGTGAAACTCTATTTTTTGCAGAAACAAATCGTTTTTCTGGAGAAGACTCCAGTAGACAATGTGGATTCGAATTCTTCGCCAGCTGCAAAATAGAACCACCAGTCAGGTATATGAGGTCTTTGCAGATCATTCACCCAACTGGTGGTTAAAAAAAACATGCCTCACCATTTTTCTGGATCATTTTCCACATTTTTCTCGTAGATTTGCCATCTAAGGCTACAAAGTTGGACATAGATGGAGATGAACTTGAAACATCACTATAAGCTGCCTAGTATCACCAAACTATACTTACATTATTACATTCACAGCCATGGTTTTCCATGGGTTTTTCTGATGTTTTCCCATGTTCTCCCGATGTTTTCCTGGGTTTCTCTACCCAGGCGGGCCTCCGTTCGGGTCTGACCCTGACAGCCGTGGTGGATCCCATCCGCCTGGCCTCCACGCGTCGCGCCTTCGCGGCCTGGCGCCACGGCGGCGGCGTGGTGTTTTGGGGCGACGCGGGGCACGTCCAGCGGATCCAGCAGCAACTTCGGATGCTGGACCTTTTTGGATGAGGATTGGGATTCTACTGGCGGATCAACGCTGATAAAAAAGGAATGATTTGGGATGTTATTATGGTGGACTGACTACATGGGTACAATTATTTGCAAATTTTTTGTTTGAATCCATGGACTCGCAATGTCAAATCCGGATTGGGATAACTCTGGTTGATTTCATTGGGTTGCCCCCATTTTGAGTGACTGCATTTGCTACTAAAATGCTAGCCCACTAATGTTGGAGGCTGGCTAGTGTGTATCAGTGATCTGGTGAGCAATTTCATCTCCAAAGTCTTTGCCAAACGATAAACGGTATAAATGATCACTTTTGAATTAGATGTGTGGCCATGCCGCATGCCATGGCTGGTAAAAACTGGGGTTGTTGTACTGAGATTTCGGGATCGCAACTCGGATACTTAATCAGCCTTAAATGCGGTGCTTGGCAATGTTTTTGTTCTTCTATGCCCCAATGGTTGCTTCAATATAAAATTAATGATGAACCCCCCTTGTTGATGTTGAATTCTAAGGCCCATTTTTTGCCAATCTCATCCAGTGGATGTGGTCCGTGCTTTCTCATCGTTTTCACTGCACTATTAACCAGCACAGGCTGAAAGTCCACATAGCCGTCCTATGCGGCCATGTGGCCACATAGTGCCCCCCCTGCTGTCCCTCAGCATGTGTTCACCACGTGGATGTGTAAGAGTAAAGCCACTCCTGTTATCAAAGTTGCAAGCAGTTTGATGGCTTAAGCCATCAAAAACTTGAGCCGCTTTCAAACATCGTGGAGAACACCAGTCCTAAGGGCTTCCTTAGACAAGCCTAAGGTGTTCCATCTTAGTTACTGGAGCAATACCGAACCCTAAGCTTTTAAACGGTGTCTTACCAGGTCCCACCCACCCTCCCAGTCAGCTTGCGCTGCTCATATTTTCCTTTCAGGAAGTGCCAAAGGATTCGAGAACCTTGCCCCAGCGTAAGCAAACGCATATGCAGTAGTGCTGCAGGCTGCGTTCTGAAAACACGTTGGGATGCAGCCCTTTACAGATTGACTTCACCTGGTTGGGTGTTCCTTTTGAACCGTGAAAAAAAGTTGTTTTGTCACAAATATGAAAAGCAGATTCCTTGCCAAAAGAATAGTTGTGTCATAAACAACTCAGCGTTTGAAATACTGCTTGTAAAAATTCAGGGTGTTCGAATGCAACAAAATGGGATGTAGTTGGCCAAGCACCCGTCTGATCATGTCCTCATCGAGCATGCATTGGTAAAATCGAGCATTGCCCCTGCGGGGCACGTAATCAAGCGTCCTGATTTGCAAATCGGTGACTTACATAAAATCTTGAGCCCCTCCAGAGGCTAACCCATAATGATAGATGGTGCAAACAGATGTAAAACATTGTTGGTGTAGAATAATCGTTATTTCTTAGGGGAGGCAACCGTTGAATCCCGGAAGAAGATATCCCAAAAAATTCGGCAATGGGTTTTGGTGGCAAGAGCATGGGACCCACAGTAGCTAAGGATCAAGTGTTCAAAGTTGTGCATTTTTGGTCGTACAGGGAAAAGAAGCTTGTCGCTTTCCAATGCCCATATGGCCAAACCTTAGTTGGAATATGTTGGAATGTCTTTAACGTGGGAAACCTAACCAGAAACCATTCCCCCAACACTGGAACATTCAGTTTGGTCAAAAAACCACATATATATATGGTGGCAGCTTCAAGAAAAGGTGACTGTTGAACATATCTATCCAAACTCTGTAAGGTTTGAAGGGGAAATAAGCATGTTCCTGGTACCAGAAACTGTTGTAATTTTCCCTGTAGCGGATGTACTCGCGTTCCACGACCATGTTAGCTTCATTTGGCATCAAGCCAGGCCCATGCTCAGCAAAGGTGACCGCGATAGAAGCTAATGCTTCAAAGCAATCTTTCACCCACCTGCAAAAGCAATAAACTATGGGTTGTTCTGCGGGTATTTACAGTAGGTGTTTTTTTTGAAAAAAGGAACTTGGCCTGTTGACATCTGATGGACGGTCTTCGTAAATCTCTCCAGATAGGATCACCGCAAACTGTACCAGAAGGCGGCTTGCCGCTCCATTGAGTTTTTTTTGTCCAGCACTTGGATATGCACTAGCCTTCTTTTGCAGTGTGTCTTTCTGAAAGAAAGTCGAACGCGCACGGCTCCCATGTGGGATTCCTGCATGATTTGGCTTTGGTATTGGTATTTTTTTGAAAAACACAGAAAGAAGAAAAAAAAACAGAGTTACGACAATTGTGATCCATGCTAGGTTCTGTTGCTGACGCACCATCGCAAATACCGGTCCCAAATCTTCAAAAGCCGCTCGTCCCGCGATCTCCCTTCAAAGATGCTCTGATCTTCGGTCCAGTGCATGAAAGAAGATGCATAAAGGTCAGTGTAGATTGCCAGATCTAATATATGCAGCAAGTCTGGATAGATTCCTTGACACAGAGGCGTGCTTGGGGCCAACATATTTCAATCCTTGCTTATGTAACACATTGGGAAAAGAAACCATATGGGCAACCAGTTCAAAAGTTGCAGCATTTCAGAAAACAGAGCATCTCCAGGGAGTGAAACCTCGAATGGTTGTCAATGGAGATTGTCCATTTACGCGGATAAACTCAGCAGTAGTGACCAACCTGGCACGAGTACCCCAGAACTTTGATTGGGGGAAAAAACATTGGGGGGAAAAACATTGGGGGAAAAACAAAGTCTTGGGGCGGATACGCCATGGCCTATGGTCTGCTGAGAAACTGGGATCGGTAAGCTGCTTCTCGGCCCCAATTGGTGTATAGGAAACCCTGATTTTCATCACTGCAGTTCGCCAAGGCCCCACAAAGAAAGCAACAAGCTGTGTGTCGATAGGATCCTTTGATTGTTTCTTGGTTGAATCCCCAAAAAAAAATTGAAGGGTGTAGCCTGAAGAAATTAGGTGAAAACTGCTGAAACCCAAAAAATATATTGAAGATATACCTTGAGTCTGTTCAGAGTGAAGAGGGCCGCAGTAAAATCTTGGTCCCCCTGCACCCCGTCAAAAACAAATCTCAAAGGGCCAGCAATTGGTTGCCCTGCCTTTGCCAGTCTGTCAGGGTAGTAGGTTTCTGTGAACCTCTGGTTCCAAGGGTCTCGATCAGGATGTTGTCCCTTACATGGGATCTGTGCTGGTACCGACAGTTTGACGTATATACACATAATATAAATATAAAAATAAATGTGTACATATACATGTATAATATGTAAATATATATATATGTACATATACATGTATCAAATAAATAAATATATATATATATGTGCATATATATATATGTGTGTGTACATGTACATGTATAAAATAAGTATATATGTACATATATATATATATATGTGTGTACATATAGATGTTTAATATAAATATCTTATGTACATATACATGTGTCTGTGTAAATCTAAGAATCTAATATTATATAATACAGATACATGTATGTGTATATATATATATATATGTATGCCTTTTTAATAAATATACGTGCAAGATTGCATATATATATATATATATGCGTGTATAAATAAATAAATAAATATAAATAAATAAATATATATATATCATTCGTGCGTTGTTCAAATATATGTACGTGAAAACAAATGCATATATATATATATGTATATATATATATATATATTACATGTGTATATGTATATGTATGTTCAAGGATTGCCATGACAGGGTCCTTACTGCCAACATCAAATGAAATTGACAAGGTAGAGGTATGCTCCCACGATATCAAGGCCAAAACAATTGGGAATAAAACTACGAGCAAACCCCCCAATGTTGTGGAAAGAAGTTTTGATGAGAAACTTCCAGTACGGGATTTTGAGGAGAAACTTCCAGTTATACCCCACAAATGCATGTATAGATTAGCTTTGGGGCGGAAAAAAATAATTCTATTTACACAAAGTTTCGCAGCGCTTCGAAACTCCACGCTAACACTTGTTGTATCAGCCTTCGGGCTTCCGTAGTTGTTTTGTCGCAATTGCGAACACTGCATAAGATACGGTTGTCCAGAGTGCTAGAACTTGCAGACAAAATGGGTAACACAGTCATGATCTCAAAGTGCTGATTTGATTGAGCGTCAGCGCCGTCCCCGTAGATGCGAAGAGGTACGCACAGCGATTTGTCCTAGCCGTGCTGAAAATGGCAGTTCCAGTAAAGACTATAGTTTGCTCGTTTGGTGTCATATCAGTGGGTTTCCCCCACAAAAAAAAAAGTGCAGCCATGAGTCTAAGTCAGGCATCTGCAAGGATTCGAACAGGTCTTCATTTTGGTCCCAGTACCGTTCCAACATACCAGGCTCCCCGGTAAAGATTGGAAAGAAAATTTCAGGGAATTCAAATAAGGCTGAAATGATGTCGTGCGGGGCCATGACATGCTGCTTGCAATGGGTTGCACCATTGAGAAGAACCTGCTGGTCCGTTCTTTTCACCTTATTCTGACTGGAGAAAAAACAATTGTAATCTTGTTTATCATTTTCGGGAAAACTCCTTTGAAACAAAATTCAAAGAATCCCAAACCAGCTAATCCAACGAGAAGGTTCACAGGCACATAGAACCTGATTGGTTGTTGAGTTCCGCTTCAGAAAATGAGAAATTTTGGATCCCTTGCGCAACAATGTAAACACTCAAAAACACGCAGCAAATACTTAAACAGTACTGTGTTTCTAAGGGAGTAGCTCGAAAAAAGTCAGGGGCATAGGCTGCCTCCACGGTTGCCGGGAAATCCAGCCATTAAGGGTCCTTTCCAAGCCCCAGCCACCAGCGCATTCGAAACGTTCGAAAAGATCAAGGATCGGCTTCCTGAGTATGCATGTCAGACATGCCAGGATGGATACATATTTACCCACTTCATTTTACACCTCATTATTTCAACCGTCCAAGCAAACTGAAGAGATAGATCCTTGGCAAACCTTGGATAGCTGGTTCAATAGGTCAACAGATCGATCGATAGTTAGATAGACAGTAAGATATGGTAAGATGTCTATGGCGAGGTGCTTGCATCCTTACATATTTACACAAGCTTACATAGATACATGACTACATACATACATCCATACATACAGACATTAAACACACAGCACTACACCGCTGCCCCCTTAGCTTGGCCAAGTTTCGGCACCAGGGAATGATCAAATCTGCAGATGCGGGAGACCAGGTCGCAGATCGAAGTGCAGCTTGCCTCAGATGGATCAAGTTCGGTGGCACTGGCGGGCCTGAAGTGTGCTTTGAACAAATAATTTTGGGAACTGCCCCATGTACCAATCTTCTTTGGAATCACAAAGTTTAAGGTTCCAATTTGAAATTGAATCGAGGTGCTTTACCTTCGGAAAGCTTTTTGAAAAGGTCTGCCACCATCTCGTTGACAGTGCGCTGGTGAAACACATTCGCTAGCCTGGCAATTTGACCCATGCTTGGAAGACAGTCATACTTGTACCATCCTGTATCCAATCTTTTTTGTTTGCTGCACAAACATTGCCGTTCTCAATCGTACATGGTTGAGCATGCACGCATCACGCATTTTCGCGCATCTTGAGGGTCGCCCCAAATGGTCGATTTGCTCTAAACCCCTGCATCATTTTTGATGCCCAGTCAGCTGTAACCTAATCGTGTTGGGAAACACGAACGCCCAGACATGACACCTCGAAGCCACATTGATGCAGCCATTCACATGAATCAGCTGCCGCGCCCCTCACCCGGAAAGCCAGAGTTGCATCCTTCATACGGATCCCATGTCTCCTCCTCGTCCCAACCCTCGCCCCACTCATCATCCTCCATGTCCTCCGGGATAGTAGGGGGGTATTCATCTTCATCATCGACCTCATCATCATGCGGATGCTCCTCCGCCTCCTCATCATTCCCATCATCCTCTCCTGCGTAGTCCAAGGTAGCCTGGGTTTCAAGCTTTGCAACCTTTCCCTTCGACTTTGCCTTTGCTTTGGCCTGAGCGGCCTTCTCCGCATCCTTCTTTTCTTTGTCTCGCTTTCGCTTGACCCCTCAGCAATGCTAGGTTGAGAGGTTCCTGGGTGGAATTGATTTAAAAAAAAAAGGAGGAAATCCCAGTAATTGACTGCTTTGAGGAAGGGACTGCACCAGAAAATGATGGGTAACATTTTGGATAAATGCCAGTAATTGAAAATTTTGAGGAAGGGACTGTTCTTCCAACCCTTGACAGTGGACGCCGCATTGTCCAGGTCATCGATGGCAGCCTTGATTGCGAGAAACTTCATTGGCAATTGCAACTAGTTTGCAATCAGCTGGAATACGTGTGGCATCAAGGGGTCTTGCCTCAATGGTTTTCTCGTTCTTCTTCTTCAGTCCCTGGATGTACTGGGCATCCTTCCCTTTGAAGCTGGAATCTTCCATCCTGCAAGTATTTAATTTCGGAGGTATAAGAATTGCAAGATATTGCAAGTGTGATTTGCAAACTATGCCCATATGGACACTGCACCCCAAGAACAGAGAATCTCCTGTCGGCCAAGGCCCGGAAGAATGTGTGGTGCTGCTCCAAGCACGTTACCATTGCCTCCGTCGTGCCAATTCCAAAACATTTAACAAATGGGAATCTGTTGAAGACAGCAATGGAAGTAGCAATCAAAAGTATTATGATGGCCTCTTGGTGGGGGATCTTCAGAGAGTTGATATCCAGGGCCAGCTCGCGAGCCTTTGACCCTTTGTCTCGAAGCCTTGGGAAACATCAAATTGACAGAAATTAATTAGGGCTGAATTTGCCAAGAAATAATGTCCCCTAACAGACCCTAACAGTTTCAGATGAAGAACGTCTTGATATCTTTCTGTACCCTTTTGTTCTCCTCATCTTCTGCAGTCTTTGGACGGTTTTGGCGGTTGCCTTTGCCCCCGCCCCCTTTTCCACCTCTTCCTGGCTTCTCCTTATGGGTCCCCATGTCAGCGACAAAGCCATCAAGGGCTTCACCCAAAGCCTTCTTCCCTGCCGAGGTATCGATATCACCACCTGCCGATTGGCGAGTTCCAGCTCTGGAGACATCTGCGCCTGATTGGAACGCAGCTGACTGCAATGATTGGTTTTGATCAATAAAGGTAGGTAAAATTAAAGGTGGCATGTATGTATATAAATATACATCTGTAAGTATGTCACATATTGAAATGTCTGTATTTATAAACATGTATGTATGTATATGTATATATATGTGTGTGTGTGTGCTCATACAAAGAACTTCCCTTGAAAGATGGACTTCGCAGGGTTCCAATGGGGGTTCCAAACCATTTGATTGGCCATGGGACTAGAAAAAATCAGGGCCAGAAAAAGGATATCAAAGACCGAAATACATGGTGACTGTACTACACTCTTTGCGGGGTTCATGCCCAGTTGGGCCAAGACACTAGACATCTTGTGCTTCTTGTAGACCTTGAACAGCTTGAAGCGATAGTCATCACAATCAGGAAACTGAGCGGGCTTGGACACAGTGTGGATTCTTGAAAGACTGGGTATGCTACTGCAATTCATGGGTGGGTGATGATGATATTCATTCAGAATGCAGGTGGCTCTAAGATATGGTTATGAAATTAACTTAAATGAATCGATGGAAACCATGGGTACTTGCCCTGCGTTGTATATGAAAAAGATCATACCAGAGCAACCCACCGAGCTGCCACGCTTTGTGCGTCCAAGGTGCTTGGGGATTTGCTTCACCTTTCTGGCCTGGCAATTCTGCGAAGCAGACATTGTGGGGGGCAATTTGGCAGCTTGGCTTGTTCAGTTCGGGTTTCACTGGGTCACGGGCTCGCTTTCACCTTCTCGAGAAATGCCCTTGCATGTCATATGGTTGTGGTTGAAGGAAAGTCTCCATTGCACTTGGACCGATCAGATCAACAAATGTCTGTGTTGATCGGCTAATTTTTCATAGCCAAGAAACTTGCCACCCTCCGTCTTGCCGTATTTCTCCTCCAGTTCAAAAAAAGCAAGCTTCTCGTAGATGTCATCGTTTTTCTTCACGGCTTCCCTGGGCAGATCCCATAGAGTCTATAGCATATGCATAGACGGCATGGAACTTTTCAAGACAAGGCTGAAGACTTAAATGTTGGGCTAGTGACTGAACGAAGAATGCTTCGACTTGAACTTCTGACCTTTGGGGCGGGGCGCAGCCGATAGCCTATGATTTTTTAGCTGCAAGCTGGATGGAAACTTTAAGCGGGAAAAAACTGAGAGATGAACAAATCTTCGTCTATCAGGAATTCCTTTAGCATCTTGAAACGCTCTTTGTTCGAAGACAGGCAAGCTTGGTACTTCTGAAGGAGCCCCGGTTTCAACCCATGCCCGGACTTCATCCTGCGACCCAGTTGGTTGTACAAAGCACGTCTTTTGGCGATAGGTATGTCACTCTGTGCCATGGCCCTGATCTTCTCCTTAGACTCCTCATCCAAAGGGCTCACCTGAGAACACAAATGAAGTGGGTGCTGATGAGTCCACATGACTTGGATCAAAATCAGGTATCCGAAGAAAGCGGTTGACTTAAAAATAAAGACCCAGATCTCTGGTCCCAAAGGCCAAGAAAAATATGTTGATCCATCCCAACAACCCTTTTCCAAAGTGGGTAGCTCAGGAGTTCCCCAGATCCGATTTCCACCAAGGAGCGCGGTATTGCCTTCTATCTGCAGAGGTGGCAACGACTGGCGGAGCCTGTGACTGGACTTTGAATAAATCAAGATCTGGGTGGGTGTTCAAAATGATGCCATGCCTCGACGGGTGATCCTCTTCCAGCCTTACATGTATGATATTCAAGCGACTGCAATCTTGTTCGTATTCTGTCAAAGTTTCCGAACTCAACTTAAGCCAAGGTGCACTGAGGTCTGTGTAGGTTCTCCGCAACCTAAGAACCGGTCAAGCATCGGAAGATTGCTTGGCCGACATCATTCCATCCCATTTCTCCAAGAAGGATTTTGATTCCAGAACCATTCAATGTCATCTAAGAAACGCAGCTCTTTTGGAAGAGGGTGAGCTGGTAGGAGTATCAGTAGACTTGGGCACACCACGCTTCTTTGGCGTCACATACTCCTCGGGCAAGCTGTCTGTGCTCGTCTTGGACCTGAGTCGAATGAGCGACCTGGCATCCTCTGGGATGGTCGCAACCATCTTCTTGGTATCCTGGCAAGCGCAGTGAAAAGGTGAAGTTGTTGGGAGATTGGAATATTAGCCAACAGAACAATGGCAACCCTCAAGCCCTTGTTCAGAAGGGGTTCTAGAGTTTGACAAAGGTCCAAAGCCACAGTGACGATCTTGCATCCATCTGACGAGGGTATATATCCATATACCCAACACAAACATAAAACATCGTGGTTCTCTCCTTCTTTCTGGCCGGCTTCACTTCTTCCTCTTCCTCTTCTTCTACCTTCTTTCTTTTCTTCGACTTGTCACTGCCGGTGTCTGGAGTCTCAGACGCCTCAGGTGTCTCACTCTCTTCCTTGTTTTTCTTTTTCTTGAGACCTGGTGTCTTCCTGGCGCCTGTGTCAGGAATCTCAGAAGCCTCAGGTGTCTCACTCTCTTGCTTGCTTTTCTTTTTCTTGAGACCTGGTGTCTTGTTGGCGACGGCTTCAGGAGTCTCAGAAGCCTCGAGTGTCTCACTGACAGCATGCTTGCTTTTCTTTTTCTTGAGACCTGGTGTCTTGTTGGCGACGGCGTCAGGAGTCTCAGAAGCCTCGGGTGTCTCACTGACAGCATGCTTGCTTTTCCCTTTCTTGAGACCTGGTGTCTTGTTGGCGACGGCGTCAGGAGTCTCAGAAGCCTCGGGTGTCTCACAGACAGCATCCTTGCTTTTCTTTTTCTTGAGACCTGGTGTCTTCTCAGAGCTCTTGCTGCTATCTGGTGTCTTGTTCTTCGTCTTCTCATTGCTCGAGGCATCCTTTGGATCTTCCTCTTTGCTTCTCTTTGGTTTCTTTGCATCTGCCTTGCCTGCGGGTGTTTCTGCCATTTCAGAACATCCGGTTGCTTGCTCTTCCTTGTCCTTCTTCTTCCTTGTCTCTGCAGTCTTCTTTGCATGTCCCTTCCCAACATTCTCGGGGCTGTCTTCAAGCGCTAGAGGTGCTTCTTCTTTCCCTTTGCCCTTACCTTTGCTCTTTATCATGTTGAGAACCCATGCCTTGACGGCATCCTTGCTCTTGCCTTCTCCTTTGCCTTTAGGACGTGCTCTGAGCTTTCCATGCCCAGTATCCTGAGGAAACCCGAACATCAGGGGCAATATCAACAACTTTTTGGACATCCCACCATGACTATACTTGGAGGTGCGGCCCTTCTTATAACTAGTTGCAACGGTTGTTTGAGTTATAAGTTAGCTGAATCTCAAATGCTTCCAGGGCTTCCGTCTATAGGAGCCTGACGAGGGGGTACGTATACATATCCTAAGTGGCCGCGCATGCAAAACATATCTAAAATTCATGTGAAACATACACATTTACGTTTGTGAAACGTATGTGATGCGTATGTGAAGCGCATGTGCAGCGCAAGTGAAAACATATGTGAGCCGTATGTGAAACATATGTGGAAACATATGCGAAACGTATGTGACACATTTACGTATTTTGGGACTGGATTGCGTTGTGTTTATGTTTTACTTATGTATACGTTTGCGAATTTATGTGTTTTTTGATGTCGGAACCAAAATAAAACCTTATTTTGCACAAAAAACATTATTTTGGAACGCGCGTAAAGAAAACATAAAAAGAAACATAAACAGAACGCAAACGAGAACGCAAACACATTGTGTAACGTTTGTGTTTGTACATGTGTATGGTTTATGTTTTTTTATGTCGGGAGAAAAATAAAACCTTATTTTGGGCAAAGAAGACCTTATTTTTTCTCTTACGCAAAAGAAACGCAAACAGAAACATAAAGAAAACAACAAGTAGCCGCAATTTCTGGATATGTCGGAAATATGCGTTTTGTTTGTTTATTTGAAACCGTTTATGATAGACGGGTTCTATTGTGAAAGCCTTTGAAACCCTGCTAAGTTTTAAGTCATGCAATAAACCTGGCAAGTCATGCAATAAGTCTAGCAAGTCAGCCAATAAGTCCAACAACTAAGACTAAATAGGTGTCTCGCTTACTAAGTAAGTGAGACACCTACTTAGTCTTAGTTGTTGGACTTATTGGCTGACTTGCTAGACTTATTGCATGACTTGCCAGGTTTATTGCATGACTTATAACTCAAACCACCGTTGCAATTTGTTTGTTTATTTGAAACCGTTTATGATAGACGGGCTCTATTGTGAAAACCTTTGAAACCCTGCTAAGTCATAAGTCATGCAATAAGCCTGACAAGTCATGCAATAAGTCTAGTAAGTCAGCCAATAAGTCCAACAACTAAGACTAAGTAGGTGTCTCACTTACTTAGTAAGCGAGACACCTATTTAGTCTTAGTTGTTGGACTTATTGGCTGACTTGCTAGACTTATTGCATGACTTGCCAGGCTTATTGCATGACTTAACTCAAACCACCGTTGCAACTAGTTATAAGAAGGGCCGCACCTCCAATAATGCATCATAGTGGCAGGTATATGCTTGACTTATGCTTGGCCATTTGATGCTAACAAGGATCCATATTGGTACCGGACGGTGGGCTCTCAACCCCAAAAAGATCCGAAATGGCTTCAAAATGTGGTGCAAATGCGTGACACGCTTTGTCACGCTCTAAGGGGGTCCTATGAAGGTTTTGTCACGCTATGACACGGTATGACACGCATGCACCAAAACGAATAAAAACAAGAAAAAAGCAAACCATAGTGACAAACCGTGACAAACGGTGACAAAAATGAATACATACGAATACAAAAATGGACGACCAAAGAGTGACAAAGGGTGACAAAGGGTGACAAATGGTGACACATAGGTGGCAACAGGGCGACAAAGGGGACAAAAGAGTGACAAATGGTGACACATGGGTGGCAACAGGGCCACAAGGGTGACAAAAGGGTGACAAATGGTGACACATGGGTGGCAACAGGGCGACAAGGGTGACAAATGGTGACACATAGGTGGCAACAGGGCAACAAAGGTGGCAAAAGAGTGACACATGGTGACATATGGGTGGCAACAGGGCGACAAGGGTGACAAAAGGGTGACAAATGGTGATGCATGGGTGGCAACAGGGCGACAAGGGTGACAAAAGGGTGGCAAATGGTGACACATGGGTGGCAACAGGGCGACAAGGGTGACAAGGGTGACAAAAGGGTGACAAAAGGGTGACAAATGGTGACGCGTGGGTGGCAACAGGGCGACAAGGGTGACAAATGGTAACACATAGGTGGCAACAGGGCAACAAAGGTGGCAAAAGAGTGACACATGGTGACATATGGGTGGCAACAAGGCGACAAGGGTGACAAAAGGGTGACAAATGGTGACACATGGGTGGCAACAGGGCAACAAGGGTGACAAAAGGGTGATAAAACCAAAGCAGGAATTTGATCCTGAAGAAGCAATCTTCCCCCAGATTGCAGCCCTGGTGACTCAGCAAGCCTCGATCTCTTCCTAGGTGGTTCGTCACTGCCATTCGAAGATGCCATGGTGCCTGGCTTGGTGGATCAAAGGTTGACGAAAATAATATTTTATATAAGCAACTGGTTCTGGAACTTCCAGTTTAAAGGTTTTAGGGGCCAGTGATTTGAAACCATCAAAAGAAAGATTGTTTATTTCACATTGGGCTTGAAAGCACCTTGCCGCTTTTTTTGATTTTGGCAGAGAGCGCACAGTTGCACTGCTGTGAGTGCTTCCCCCTTGAAGGCAAACGTAGCCAATCCCCCAAGTGATCATACTCTTTACTTTTCCTGGGTGAGCCATTACCTGCACAGGTTGTCCATATCTTTTTAGAAGAATACATTGTGAAGGCAGATGATCACTCTGAGTCGCTACCTTCTGGTATCAAAAGGTCACCTAGCTCCGAATCGGATGAGCAAGCATCAACATCTTTAAAGGAAAGGTTGCGGTCGCTCAAGATAGTCTCTTCCTTCAGGGTCTTCATGTTCTTGCTGAAGAGTCCACTTACCTCAGCCCGTGGCAGCACGTGCTGTTTCGGCGCTTTTGTTTGAAAAATGGACCTATTATTTGAGAAGGATTTTCTCAAACCAAACGGAAACTTGGTACCCAGAGACCTTTCCAATGGAAAGGTAAAGCAAAGAAAATGCAGGGAATGGTGGTTCACATATCTTTTATTCAAAGATCATTTCGAAGCAAAGCTTCCCCATGTTTTGAACTAAGACGCTGTGTAGCAGAACTGCCACGGGTATGTCTGTGAAGCAGTCAGGGACCGAGATCCGACCTAAGGAAAGGAAATTGCACATCGGGATGCGCCGCCTACACTGCTGAGATGCTCGATGCATTTCTGTTTTGGCAACTTGGCTTAAAAGCTCAGCTGCATGGTAACTTTCTGTTCTGGTGGGTTCCTGTTTTCTGACACTGCCAGCTGACCCATTTTTTTCAAAAGCATAGCCAACGACTTTAGAGGCCTACCAAAAAGGATAACTGGAAGCTTGAGAACATTGAGGGTCCAACCACCCTGGCCCTGCCAGTACCATCGCGGTACTTACGAACCATCTTGATTTGCTTCATGCGCTGGATTTTGAACAAGAGTCGCCTGGAACAGGGTATTGGGAAACCATGGTTCACCTATAGATTTTGCACCATGGGAGCCAAGAAACATTGAAACAAGTTTGATCTCATAGTCATGAATCAGAGACATTGACACAATTCTGAACTGTCATGTGGTTCCGCTACAGCTAGCTGAAAGACTTTAAATTTTGAACCCCCTGTGAATTAAGGGGATGAGGTTGTGCAACCGTTTTGTAGTGAAGAAACGGTTTGCATAGCCTCAAACTCTACTAAATGGATGTGCATGCATGATCGAATTTCACTAGACATGTCAAAAGATCCTCCTACCATGTTGTGCATGTCAACTCTCGTTTACGGAAAATTGACGACGTTTTCTGGTCCCCTCAAGATTCTCTTCTAAATGGTTTCTAGAAAATTCACACTAAAGTTTTGGTTCACTTTCCGGGACCTAGGTCATAGCATTTAGTAGTGGAAATCCACTGGGGGATACATTTTGATTTTAACAAGTGACCTGGATAGCCCTTTTTTGTACCTAAAACCTTTCATCTAGGTCACTTGTTGAAACTGTCCTTCTGATTTCTAAACTACCTTGTTTACCAGGACTGACATGTATGAAGCCACCCGCCTCCGTTCCGCCGTCATAGATGGACATGGCAAATTGTCCATCCATTTTGCCGTACTTATCAACACCGTCCTCTTCCTAGAATTCGACGAATGAATGCGTGATTGTAAATCCGTGTGACCATGCGTGCCTTGCTATGGGATTCAAATTGTGCAATTGTCCATCCATTTTGCCGTACTTATCAACACCGTCCTTCCTAGAATTCGACGAACGAATGCGTAATTGTAAATCCGTGTGACCATGCGTGCCCAGCTATGGGATTGAACTTGTGCACCTCCACACCCCTAAAAAAACCAAGATTCTCTGAGCTGTGTCCATGCATTCCAAGAGGAAGGAAAAAAAAATTGGCTTTGTGCCGGCGAATCATCTCCTGCATGCGCGGGCAATGAAAAACACAGAGGGGCTAGGTAGAGATTTAGCAGCAGCTCACTAAAGCTGGAATGGCAACCACCTGCCTCAAATGGTCGATACAAGGGAAGGAGTGAACTGGAAGGTTGCTCAATGCACCATTCAATCCCCTTCGTATGGGCATATTCCATCCTTAGCCCGTCTGAGCTAAGCTCTACAACATGCCCTGCTTGGAAGAGCACCCACACAAACATCATGGGAGTTTGTGAAGACTGAACACCATCTAGAATAATTCCTCCAAGAAACACATAAAGCAAACGTCGAACCATCCTGTTGGTTTCCCTCACTTTCCGAAGGCGCTTCTTGCCCCTCAGGCGTAGTGAACTGCGAAAAGTGCTGCCGCGGGAAAGCCATATAAAAGACGAGCATGGGATTCCCAGCCAAAGAAAGCCACCTGCGATTACTCGCCGAATGGCCTGGAATGTCGAAAGTAAGCCGGTAGATGTTGAAAGGTCATGATGGCGAGAATATCTCACCTTGGCTAGCACGTGGCTCCTGCAAGATCACTGATGAAACTTAAGGAAAAGGTTGTGCCCTAGGAGAGATTAGCACTGAGTGGCATCCATCGCATGCGCAAACAAGCCGTACTCCAGCATGCAATCGGTCATTCGGTGTGACCCAGCGCACAGCTCCAGGAAGTGGAGCCTTTCATCGTGCGATGGCTCCCCAAGTCCTGAGTAAGCAAGGGCCCTACCAGCTAGTAAAAGGAACATTTGCACTTTTTTAAAGCGACATATGACACATATTTTATTTTTTGCATGTTCCAAAATAGTATATACATATATAATCATATATATTTTTTAGTCTGTGTGTGTATGTGTGTAATGTATGCGTGTAAAACATTGTGCCCACTCAAAGCTGAAGAATTTGGAGGTGACAAAATCTTTCTAAAATCACATCAAATGACCTTGGATCAAAGCCAAAATGATTGGCGCGATCAGGCTATACTTCATGGCTTTGGATACAAGGGGCGGAAAAGGGACAAGTATGGCTATGGGCTATATATGGCCATGTTGTTTTGTTTTCCCCGCACATCTGCATTGCGCATTGCCTCAGGATTCGAAGTCAAAGACGGCTGGGCGCAAAGACTTGGCAGCTTTGGGCGCAACGGATGAAAACCCAACTTGGAGTTTTAAGTCAAAACCTAGCACATGGAACATCATGATCTACATAAGATCGTGGTTTACCAGGCGCTATATAATATACTCAGTCTGGAATTTGTGATTGGCCTAAATTTGAATTCATAAGTTCAACTCCGGTGCAGGGGTAGCATTTCGATACCCAGAAGGGCAATGCAGAATGATCATATGTTTAAATTCAGCAGTTCGGGTTTCCCAATCAATATGCCACGTGATCCGTTACCCCGAAAATCTTCTCAAGAAGTGTCGGGTTGCATACTTTCACCCCCCGATGTCAGAGCGCAATTTGCCCTCAAAGGCGCTGGCTTGTTTCGAAGCTAAGTTCCTAGCATCCCAACCAAGCATAGCCATTTGCAATGCTTGCGGCAACCCCTAAAATTGGCAACTCTGGCAGACCAGATTTGACGAAGTGTGGTTTTGCACACCGTACATATATGGTCAAGCAACTGGCTTAACCCAAGCCCCAATGTTGAGGCGTCCCCAAAAAGAAGCTCATAGTTTCGACTTTGGTGGCCACTTCCATGTGACATATTATTGAACCTATTTTGGTTATGAGAATATACACATGTATGCTACCCTCAAAACTATTGTTCCCAGATAAACATACCGGTATTTGGAAGTCAAATGGCCGTCATCTTAGAACCTAATACCTGCGGCGTTTGATTTCCGAAGGGGTCATGCCTTCCAAAATGGCAGACCTCTCAGCACTTGCTTTCCAAAGGATCTCAATGGCACGCCAGCGAATGCTGGGATCATCCTTCTTGCACCTCAGCAGCCATTGCAGCGGGGAAGAAGGAAGGTTGATTCCTAATCTATTCGTTCTCATGTGGGGGAAAAATGGAAAATGTGGTTTATCAAATCTTTGGAGAGTAACGCTTCAGCGAAGGCTTTTTTGGCATCCCCATACGCAGTCTGACCATGGTTGGAGGGCTTCTCCTTCGACTGAACCTTGCCCTTTTTTTTGGTGTCAGCCTTCTTGGAAGCCGTGGGTTTGTTCTTCTTGGCAACGCGCTTTGGAACCTTTTTGGCACCCTCCGAACCTTTGGATCCATCCTCAGCAGCTGGGACTTGCAATTTTTGAATTGAAGGCAGTTACACCTGGATAGTTACGTCAAAACGATCTGCAGATAAATGTTCAAGGAAGGAAGATGGAAAAGACTCAAATAGCTACAGATAACTCAGAAAATGAAATTGAAGTCAAAGATCTCCATCAGCACAACCTTTTCCTTTGGCCTTCGCGTTTGCTTCCTCTCTTTTCTTGGCAGCTAACTGGATCTTAGCAAAAGGTGTGACCACCGGCGGTGACCTTGGCTTCTTTGGCGAAGGTGTGATAGTTTCATCAGCCTGGCAATGGGTGGAAGCCAGAGTTTCGGACATCATGTTTTGGGGCCATGGCTGCTAGTACATGGATGAATGCACTTGGCTTGTTCGTAAAAAAAAGGATTTGGAGCTGTGTGCCTCGAGCCCTGACTCCAAATGTGGTCTGCGAAACAGATAAAGTTCACCAGGGGCATTGGTGGGCACCACAGACTTAATTTCAGATCGCTTCAGATCCTGGGTTCCCCACTGTCCCCATCAACTGTTTGAAGAACAATCAGAACGTATCAACAGGTTGGAACTGAAAATCGAATTTAAATCAAGAAAGAGCACGTATAGGCAGTCCTTGTGCACGGTGTGTGGTTCCAGGGCACCTTTGCCATCCCAATCACCTGAGCTAATGGGTGAAGAAGGGAACTATGCCGCAGTTGTAGTTCCAACTTGTATATATTGATTCAAGTGACCCGACCATTCTCCTGCCCATTCTGGATTGGTCACCAAATGGTAGCCCCACATCTCTTCATCATCCTAGGCAAGTTGTCAGACAAACATCTTCACTTCCGTTACTTTTTGTTGTTGATTTCAACTGGTTGAAGGCTGAAAGATCCCGGCCTCATCCGTTTCACCCAAGCGCAGAGTTTTTGCCCGCAGCAATACCTTAAACAGAAATGCAAAAGTGTCACCAAAAGACTACCAACTATATCTCGTTTTCTGCACAGCCCCAAAAATATGAGTCCAAATGAATCCAAGGTACCTGGTCCGCTGGATCGAGCAGCTCCGCTTCTCCACTGGCATCTTCAGCCCCTGAGCCTGCATTGAGAAGGTTGGAGGGGAATTTGAATTGCAAGGTAGAAGCTTCCTAAATGTTTACCCCGGATGAATAACCCCCCCAACTCGTTGATAGGGTTATACTTTGATAAACCCCTGTATATATAAAATAAATCAGGATTCTGGGGCCTGGGTTTTAATTTTGGAGGGTTTCTGGGTGTTAAAACTGGTTTTTGAATGGTGCAGGATACATATCAAAACGGTGTTGGCTCAGCAGTATTCGTTAGTGGTGTTTTATCCAATTCTGCTCTGGTTTACATATGCGTGGTTTATTCAGGCTACCCCCGTCCAGCTCGACCCAGGTCCTCCTAAGTCTGCCCAGGTCAATCCCAACTTGCAGGTTCTCCCAGGTTCTCCCAGGTTTTCCCAGGTTCTCCCAGGTTCTCCTAGGTTCTCCCAGGTTCTCCCAGGAAATTAGTGATTTCCTGCGATTCTATGGGTTTCCGGGATTTCCTGGGAGAACCTGGGTGTTATTTTCTGCGATTTTGTGGGGTTTCCGGAAGCTGGGTGTTATTTTCTGTGTTTTTGTTGGTTTCCGGGATTTCCTGGGAGAACCTGGGTGTTATTTTCTGCGTTTTTGTGGAGTTTCCGGGATTTCCTGGGAGAACCTGGGTGGAAGTTGGGGATGGGCCTGGGAGAGCTGCAAGAGTTAGTTCGGGGAAAAGTGGCTGGAGGGTGGCCCGCTATTTTGACCTGCAATTTCTAAATTTCTGCCGCAGGCGTTGCCGCCCCCTTTGGCCTGCAGGTTTGCCACGCTTTAAAATTTAGTTATAAGGATTGCAGGGGTATAGCAAGTTATACTATGTTATACTTATTTTATTTTAAAGAAAGATCATCGTTATTTTGGGTGTCATCGCCCTCGCTATCATTCAGGGTCTATTCATCCGGGGTTGGAATTAGCAGCAGCCAATCTTAGCACCATCTAATTTTGACTGGAATGTGGAAAAAAACAGCTTGCAATTCAAAACCGCCTCCACCCATCTCTTGGTCATGACCGCAAGAATCTTGGAAGGAACCTAGCGCATGGATCTGGATTGATTAGGGAAGCATGGGTTCAAAATTGTTCGGAAGTAACAAAAAATTGAATATGGAACCAGGCCTACATAAATTTCCCACAAGCTCTCCAGGTCCATGTAAGCACCATTGGCACATAGCTCATCCCCTCGGTTTCCCATAGGCCCGTTTCAGCACATGGTGGATATTAGGACAAATTGTGCTTGGTCATGTTTGGTCTAATTTACCGGTGAAAGTAGACAGCCGAGTTGCAATTGGTGCAGAGCCACTGGTAAAAATCTTCATTCCAAGATTCGCCGCTAAAGGGCTTTGAGGCATCTGCCGGGCCCCCTCGGATGGGCAGCTATCACAACATGTTGTTTAAAAACGGAAAATTATACATCCCAGGATCCATTTTTTATATATGGGAAAATTGACCAAAAAACAAAAAGGTGGACGTACACTGGTTCTAGATCACTGGTTCCAGAACACCACATATGTGAACCCAGATACAATCATCGGACTGCAGAGCACCAGCGCCATCGGAATCCAAAGTCGGTCCTGAGGGTTTCATGTGAGAGCACTGCAGGATTCTGGCCAACATTCAATGGACGGCCTCTGAAACATTGTATAACAAAATTCAGGGCTCGGGCTGTATATCAGGGTACAACCTATCATTGATGCTGGAAAGAATCTTGATGGTGCAAAAGCAGAAGTGGATGCACCAGCATATGCACTGTAGGCCCAATCAGCGTATGCCTTCATGTCCGCAGGCAACTCATCATAGTAGGGATCCGACCACTGGCCTTGGACCCGACACACCATTCCAAACAAAAATGCGGTTTGCAGTTCCGACAAACCAGAAATAAACATGCCATGCAAACCAGTTCAAAAGGTTCAGAATACCAAATAACGGTGTTGTTAACTACATGAATGGTCTCTTAAAGGGCAAAATGTGAACATCATTACTGATACGGATGATATGGGGTTGTGGAAAATCAGTTGAAACACACGCATTTTGTCACTGGTTTTAACTAGAGACCTTTGTTGGAGCGAGTCACTAGTGTCATGGCCCCCTGGATTGGTCTCGTCCAAGGCATCGTCGAAGTCCAATTGCTTCGGATTCACCTGCAATCCAAGGCTATCATGGATCATCGGAGACGTGGATTGCTGATGAATCTGGCTTGGTTTACTGGCTCTATCAGATCACAACATCGAGCTGGGTACTTGCACCTTGCCTCAATATCAGCAGGTTTTTCGGGATTGAACGGGAGCCAGTCAGGGTTCAACTTCCAGTTGCGCTTCTTCGGAATCGCTGCCGGAGGTGGCATATCCTCACAATCTGGGGGTCAATGAGGGTCTCCACATCATCTGTTTGTTTAGAACTTTACCCAGAAGTGGCAACAGTTTGAAGAAAACTAATGCAGCCAAATTTCATTCACAGGGTCTTCTGGCTTGTCGGCAGAAACCTCCGAAGAATCCAGCTGAACGTCCTGGAAAGCAATGGGAAGTCGGGTTGACGTGGGTATTGATAAATCGTTGGGTTGGGTGCCTTTTTGGAGTCGAAAAAATTGTGCCATGCATCCCACCAAACTTGCCATTTTGAGATATATCCCATGTTAAGATAGACCCAAGATCACGATCAAATCAAAAACGGAAAACAAAATTTGATTACCATGGGTTTCTGAAAACAAACTGTCCTGGGCCAGCCAGAAATCTTCGGCTTCCATAGGCACCGTGTCAACAGTGTCCATAGTTGACATGGCTTTTGATTGAACCCTGTTCGAAAGTTTCCTTTTTCGGGCCACCTTGAGAAGGTATTGCATGCGTTTTGCTTCACACAACCGCTGCTCCTCTCCAAGTTTCTCCATGGAAAATTTATTGCGCAGGGATGCCACCACTTGAAGAGCTAGTTTCAAGGTCAATACCCTCCCTTCACCGACATATTGTCGAATCCATCCAGAAAAAAGTTGTTTGATGATTTTCCTCTTCAGGGTACCAACGGGCAAAATACGGTTAGTGGACACCATCCTTTCCATGTGGCCCTTGGACTTCAAACGGTTCGCCATCTTCTTCACTATCCAATCAACATGTGTTTGCCTCAACTGGTTTTGTCGGCGAAGTCGAGACGGCATGGCCAGCAGCTAGCGCCCCTAGCAGAAACCAATCTGGTTCTGTTCATTTTTTACACCTAAAAACAAGTGTGTGTATATATAAATGTATATAGGTATATATTTATATATACAGGATATATATATATATATGTATATGTATATAAATTATATATATATGTGATTTATGTTTATATATATATGTATAAATCAAGAACCATTGTCGAAATCGATTGCTCGAGCTTTTACACTGAGGGCCCACAAAACATGACACACTATCCCCTAAGCCACAACCATACTCACACGCTGCGGCCACCACCGGCCCTGCCTTCAACCCTGACCCCAAGGCATGGCCAAAGACGCCGGCATTGGGAACTTCAAAAGAAAATGGAAAATGAGTGGGAGTGTTTCCGAACACCTGGTGCGGAAGGTATGATGAAAAATTATACGGCGAAGGTATCACCATCCATGATAATAAGGGAAAATTTGGGGAAATATAGTCACCGTATAATCGTAATAGTTTGATTTGGATGATGGGAATATCAGCGGCCGTCTGGATGGCCCTTTAAGATGAGGAACTGCCACTTTTCTTTGACGATCTGAACCACGACTTTTGTTTGGCGGGCGCGGGATGGGCGCATGACAACACCACAATCGCAAATTCATGGTTCCCATTGTTTCTTCTTTTGCGGGATTCTCACAGTGAGATGTTTCCATCCAGGGAAAAAAGGTGTGCACATGCACACAAACCTTTGCATGCCCATATGTCTTGTAATGTCTTGTAGGCCCTCCAAAACATAAAAAACTATGTATGTATGTGTGTATATGTATACATTTAAATAAATAAATAAATAAAAATAAATAGATATATAAATATATAATATATATAGATGTAATATACTCATGTTTTTTCCCAAAAAAATGCTAACAAATTCCAAGTCAGGGTATCTACCAGCTACATTCTCCCTTATGATTGGTTGGATCGGACATGAGGACCACGAACCTGAATGCACAAGTTTTTGATATTACATGCGATGCGCATGCGCGGGTCAAGATGACTTGCAAAGCACCAGCGCACTGCAAGTAATGACAGCCCGGCTGCAAATAAACGTGCAAGCTTTGCAGTCTAACCGGGCGGGTGGGAAAATGTACTATAAGGCTTTAAGTGCTCAAGACTTTGCAAAGTGCTGCGCCTGCCCTGCGTGTGCAAGGCAATGTAAAAATAGCAACCCAGCAGCAAATCAACGTGCAAGTTCTTCAGTGTAGGTGGGTGGGTGGGGAGAACGCTTCAAGTACACTACGGCTCAAGTGCTCAAGACAGCTTTGCAAAGTGGTGCACCTCACCTGCGCATGGCTTGAAGCGCAATCCAACGGCCAATCCAAGTGCAAGTGTTGCAGTTGAATGGGGTAGGCGGGCTTGAAAAAACGCAAACTTCATGCTTGCCACGGACAAAGTAGCATGCTTTGCAAGGCCACATGCCCAGTACTTGGAGGAAGGGGTCCTATGTGGCCATTTGGGGGTCCTATGTGACAAGTGCCTGAAGGGGTACTATGAGGGCGTTCAACCTGCGCTGGTCCTTGACATTGGGAACCCGCTGTGATTCACCGTGTGGTACTTGTTGTCTAGGATGTAGACCATCCCACCACGCTGTAGCGGTCCACAGGGACAAGGCGTGAAGGCTTCATGCCTGAAGATGCGCGAGGCACATCTCAACTTTCCGCAGCTCGGCCTCACATGATAGACCGTGCCAAAAGCGGCTGTGAAGATGGTTGGTCGGGGTACTTCGTCAGACTCACCCCGCCGTGGCCCATCATCTGGCAAACCTGGCTCGCCAGCTGGCTCTGCCTGGTCGCCCCCACGAGGTTCATCATCGGCAGCAGCAGCAGCATAAACGGCCTGTGATGCCGTGCTGCCCGCAGCCGGAGCGGCTTTTGGTGTCGCCCCTTCAGCTCCTTGAGGTTCACGTTGTGGCTGAGGCCCAATTGGCCCCTGTTGCATCGCTTGAAGCCCTTGTAGGCCCTGCTGTTGTGGGAAAGGCCCTTGCGGCTGCCCTGGTGGACGTTGTCCTTGCATCCAGGCTGCCGGAGGTGCTTTCGCTCCATGAGGGAACGGAATGGCCGGGTCGGCCTCCTCCTCCTCCTCATCAGGTGTGACGTCAGCAGTCCCCGGCGTGGAGGCCACTGAAGTCTCTTCTTGGCTCTCCTCGGCCGGGCAGACCGAAGGAGAGGGCGTAGCCGGGCGAAGTCGCGCCCCTTGGCCAGGCCGGAAGATCTCTCTTCCCCCCTTCTCTTTTCCTTTTTCTTTTCCCTTCCCCTTTCCACCACGTGCATCTTCAGCTCGATCACGTCGTTCTTGGATGCGCGTGCTCATCGGCACCCAGTGGTCAGGAGTACTTGGCGTAGGCACATAGTCCTCGGGGATGGCAGGCATGTCATCCTCCTCAAACTCGTCAGGAGAGCGCCACAAGTTGAAAGGCTCCCTCTCCGGGTCTTGAATTGGCGGCCCATCCGCTTCCGAGTAGGCCGGCGACGTAGTTCGACCATCACCAGAACCCCGTGAAGAGCTCCCCGTGGTCCTCCTTCTCCTCAATCTTGGAGTCGGCATCGCCTCCTCATCGCTGTAGTGGATGTTGGCCACGTCGTTCCCATACCATTCATCCATTTCTCGATTGGAGTAGGCACGTGCCTTTCCAGCGCCCTTTCCTCCAACCTGTCGTCTTTCTCCATGGAGCTGTTGGCACCAGATGCATGCCAGCACTCCCAAGATCACCATCGCAGTGTAGCCCGCCAGCAGCACGAAGAAGAACAAGTATGCCCCAAAGTCTCCGTCTTGGTCACGGCGACCACCATCACCAGGCTGTCCCGCCACCAACGTCGGCAGAGCGAAGAGCATGGCAGCTACCAAACTACCACTACAACTACCACCGTAGGCAGACATGCCTTCCACCGGTGCTACGGCTACTCGGCTCTCAGCGCCAGCTGAAGATTTTGACCCTTCAAGGCTAGTGTTCACACTGCGAACTTGGATCTTCAGCTGGGCACCTGAACCCTGCAAAAACTCGTCATTTTTTGATCCTACTGGACCCGATTGATGCCTGGAGATTTGGTCGCCAGTCAGGCTGTTGATTTGAGAACTGTCGGAGTACTCCTTGGCACCAATCAGCTCCGAAAGCCCTTGAGGCTTCACATTGTAGGGCACAGCCCTTTTTTCGCTACCATTCGCACTAGCTACACAGCTACAAGGATCTGCATGAGGATGAGAAAAGCCCAAAAACAGTTGAACATCCTGGACAGCGTTGGGGGTCATATGCCAACCATTTTTCCCAACCTCACCGACTTGATCCTCATTCAAAGTTGGCCAGACAGGCCGCATGCAAGAGGGCAGATGCCCACGGCCAGGAAGAGCAGCTGGTCCTTGATGTCCAGGAAGTAGAGCGGCCCAATCACAGCCATAGATCTCCTCCAGCGTTTCAGCTCCCCCGGGACCAGGCGTGTCCCTTGCAGCACCATTGAAGCCCAGCAAGGCTTCACCACAAAGAGGTTGTAGAGCTCGTCCATGAAGTAGCCCCACATCATCGTACTTTTCATCGTACCGGTCATCGTACCGATCATCGCTACCTCCTCCACCACATTCATCACCATCACAAGCCCAACCATTGGTAGTCATCCCAAGAGATGGTCGCGGAGCAAGCCCAAGAGATGGTCGCGGAGCCCAAGGTGGCAGGTCGCACAGCACAGCAGCGGAGCCCAAGCGTCGCCACATACTGGATCACATGGTTGCGAAGCCCGAGTGTCAGGACATTCACCGGCGCCAAGACATACACATCCTTGAAGATGCTCAGCCCGAGTATCAAGACATACACCAGAGCCATGACATTCACCATCATGAAGATGCCAAGCCCGAGTGTCCAGACATACGCAGACACCATGATCTTTTCCAGCGGGTGGTTGCCAAGCCCGACCGCCATGACATTCTCTTGAATCTTGAAGCTCTCCATCACATAGATGCTGAGCCCGATCTTGATGGCAAAGTTCAGCAGGTAGTGCGGCACCATGACTTCCATCTTTTCTCATCACCTTCGTTGGACGCACCACTTCGACATCAGACGACGTCTCCTCCACCGTGAGGTCCTCAGCCTCTGGCTCTGGTTCACCAGGACCCGGTGAGTCAACAGTCGGCGGATCAGTGGGCGCAGATGCACTCGACGTTGGAGGTGGAACGTTCTCATAGTAGGTCTCCCTGGGGTTTCTGTAAATAACCCTACTCCCGTCAGGCATCACCCTTTCAGCCACAACTCCCAGTCTGGAGTATGCTGGATTTGCACTTGGTGCACTGGCCGCATTGGCCCGATTTTCTGTTGAAGAAGCACTTGGTGCACTGGCCGCAGTTGGCTGGCTTTCTGTTGCAGGAGCCCTTGAACTTGCACTTGAAGCCCCAGCACTTGCCGAAGACGGCCCAGTCGCTGTAGTGCCCATTTTTCCCACTATTGGTGGTTCAGCTGCAGGACGTTGATCTGGTTGATCAGGTTTTCGCATTGTGAGCTCGATGGAGTAGTCCACACCAGGGATCCCTTGGCGGTATCCCACCATTGGCACTCCTCCCACAGTGAGCTCCACACGGACAGGTCGATAGAACTGCCCCTGTGCCACACCAGGTAGTCCTTGAGCTGGAAAAGGTCGGAACATCCCTTCCCCACCGGCCCTTGGTGGCGGTGGCGGTGGCGGCGGTGGCGGCGGCTGCGACCGAGGAGTTGGTTTCCCCGTCCCCTTGCCACGGCCCGGCCAGCCAGGGTACATCCCATGTTGAGGATCATCCACCGTCACCCTTGTTGGCAGTGACGTGGACTCCACATCACCTTGAAGACCGTCGCCTGGAAGATCACCACATAGTGCTCCAGCCCGAGCGTCTCCACATTCTCCATGTTGTAGTTGCGAAGCCCGATCTTGAGGACGGAGTTCACCAAGCAACTGCTCAGCCCGACCGTGAGGTGGTTCTCCATGATGTAGGTGCAGAGCCCGACCGTCAGGACATTCACCGTCTGGTAGCGGAGCCCCATCATAAGCCATTCCATGCACTGGCAGCGGAGCCCGACCGTCACCACATACTTCATCAAATGGTTGCGGAGCCCGATCGTCACCACATACACTGTCACCTGGTTGCGGAGCCCGACCGTCATGACATTCCCAAGAACCGTCATCTTCGGCCAGCACTGCCCGCAGTTGTGGCACTTCTTCATTCCATGGTTCACCTTCATGACATTCACCAGGCAGATCTCTCAGAAGATCCATGGCAGTTGCGACCAAATCGCCACTGTCCCAAGAGCGGCTGTCGCCCATTTCACTTGAAAAAACATCCATGGCTTCGGGAGCAGCGTTTTGAGAACCCTGGGTGTTTTGGTTGTTTGGACCCTGGTTTTCAAACCCTTCTATCTTACCCCCTTTTACCAACCCATCTATTTTTTTCCCTTATATATTCACTCAACCCTTTCATCAATTCCCCTTTTTGGATTTCATCATCAGAACCAGGAATTGGGGTAAAAGTGGCAAGTGCTACAGCCCCTAACCCTGCAGCGGTTATTTTGGTCAGTTCATTTTTCAACACCAGCGCCTTGACGTGCTTGGTGTCCTCCTCGACCACCGGAGCAGTAGTTGTGCTGCGCACCATCTGCATGAAGTCAAAGAAGATCTTCCACCTCGCTCGAGGGTTCACCGCCTTGGTGAGGTGATCAGCGCTCAGCAGAGCTCCAGGAAGATGTCGCACAGCCCAGCGTAGCTTGTGCTGAAGCCTCTGGCGGAGGACATGACTGCGCAACCGCAGATGGCGCGTACGCCAAGGTCCATCCGGAGAGCTCAACACCGACACTGCGGCCTGGTTATCCCCATAGATCACTCGTTGCAGTTGATCTCCACCTCCACCTGCGAAGTCCTCATCAGGAGCTTGTGTGACTCCTTCATCTTCATCATCATCTTCATCATTCTTGTCAAACTCGATCGGTATCTCCTCCAAGATGGAAATGATGCAGCCAATGGCGTCGGCAACTGACATCGCCTCGATGTAGCTGAGAAGCTCTGATTCTGCAGTTGACAAAGTCAGACACCCCTGCCGGTTCGACAGCCACTGTATTGGAGCACCCCCATACAGCCCGATCACACCTTGGACACTCTTGGAAGACTGCGGAGCAAAGGAGACGTCAGCATAGACCTCGACCCTTGTCATACTCCTTGCAAAAGGAAGGCAATCCTCTGGCCCAAAATTCGGAACCAGAGGTCCATAGACCAAACCCACGTCCAGAGTTCCATAGATGTATTCCATGGCTTCTTGGCCAACTTGACACACAAACACAACATTCTTTGTTGACATCCGACCCATAAGCCCTGTCACATAGCTCAAATCAGGCCTGGACCGAATGGAAAGCCAAAGTAGCTCACCAGTCACAGCCTGTGCTTCACGCAGTTGTTCGCGAGTGAAGTCCTCCGGCTCCTCAGGAATCACCAAAGAGCTCGACATCGGCGTAGGCCTTGTCTTTTTGATGCCATGCCGCCTCGTCAGCTCCTCTGCATAGGACTTCTGAGTGACCACAACTTCACCATCGGGACCCTTCTTGATCTCGAAGCCACAAAAGGTCATCGGTTTTTGACCTTCGGGTGCCATCCACTCAGGGTCGCTACACTTCCAACGTGCCTGCACCTTCTTGAGCGTGGCGTCAATCACCTCAGTGGATCCAGTGATCAGCAAGTCATCAACATAGACCACCATATGTCCCACCGTTTCATGTTTTTCCACCTCCCCATCACCAGACTTGAAGAGCTCGACGATGCGCCAGAGATTGGCCTCCTTGGTAGCCTTGAGAGCGAACGTTCTTCCCCTGTCAGACCAAGACCAAGTCTTCAGATCGCCATCTCGAAAAACACTCCAATCTTGCGGTGATGACTGAAGGCCATACAACGCTTTGCTGACTTCCCACATTTCTGTAGCTGGGATCAGCCCACAAGCTGTCAGCACTTTTGGCGGTTTGACCACCAATGTTCCAGTTCCACGGCGTGGGGCAAGCAAAAAGGCTGTGCGCACATCGATGGATGCACAGTTCCACCGGCGCTCTCCAGCTTTCCTTAGCACTGCTCGCACACATACACCGTCAATTCCTCCTGCATAGGTGTCGTAGGTCTTGCGGCCCTTGTTGGCATACTCAGAGGAGCCGTCCTGGTCGACCTGGTTGTCAGCCGAGACCTCCACCCTGTTGCCGCAGACTACAAGCCTCGCCTTCTTCTTGTTTCCCGGTTTCAAAGTTGCAACCAACTTACCCGGTGCATACTCTACATCGGTTCGGTGTCGGAGCGTGTCCTTGTGGACAGGCTTGATGGCATTGGTGCCCTCGGTCAAGCTCGTGTATTCAGCTCGAAGTGCATCAACCCACTCTGGAAGATTGGCCATAACTTCATTCAGAGGCACAGTTTGGGTCTGGAGGATCTTTGGCTCCACAGGCATCTCAAACTGATCGCTCTCGGCGTCTTCCACATCGTTGAGGTTGAGCGCAGCCAGCAGACACTTTCGCTCCTCACATTCAACTATCATTTTGTTCACTACATCCAACTCCTCTTCCAAGACGCCGACATGAACCTTGAGATTCTTCATCAAGTGACCTTGACGACCACCTTCATCACCATCCATCGGGAGGCGTTGTGACTCCTCTCGAAGCGCTGCAGTCCATCCCTGATGTTCACGTTGGAGCATCTTCTCATATTCATCCACGGAACCACCAAGAGGCCAGCGTTCGATTGCACCGCCATTGGACGTCATACTTGATGAACTTGTCATACTTGGCAAGGTCGAGCTTGGACCCAAAGTTGAAGTTGTACTGAAGGTTGAAGGAGTAGACCTTGATGTGCTCACCCGCAATGTTGAGTTTGAAGACGACATAGATTCCAAAGTCGCTCCAGCATCAGCATCTCGTGTTGTTTGTGCGGTTTGCACGGTTGAAAAGCACCTGGACTCCCCCCCGACCAAGTTGGTCGGAACCACCATAGGTTCACCATCATCACCATGAAGAGCTCGAAGAGCAGAGGGCTCCCCCGGACCATGGGCCTCCCCCCAAATGTCATTCACGTCAGGGTTCTCCACCTCTTCCATGCGCTCCACATGCTCATCACCTTCATAGATGCTAGGCTCATATTGTGATCCTTCACCATCCCCTTCTTCCGCAGGCACGGAGCCTGGAACCTGACCTTCAATACCTAACCTCCCTTCCGCTGACACGCCATCTCTTTTGGTTTCATCCATCAGTTTTGGAGGCTCGACCTGATCACCAGCTACAGGCTGTTTTCCAACCATACGGTGAACTGGCCGCATTGGGTCACCAACAAGTTCCAGCATCGCACGCTCGGCATTTGGGTCAGTGGTCACAACAGACCTGGCATGTTGGATGAGGCCCTTGTCAGTTTGGACCACCCATCCATGGTGCATCAGAGGACTTGGTCCCTTCAAAATGGCCTGGAAGTACGGACTCGCCATGCCCTGGGTGAAGCGCTTGTGCCAAAGCTTCGTTTTGACCAACACCCGCACGTTGTAGGGAAGCATAGCATGCTGCCGTAGTCCCACTTTTTGAAGTTGAGCTCGAAGGCGCTCCTCAGAAGAGTGCCGTGCCACTGAAGGCCATTCCTCCGTTTTCGCAGCTGAAGACTGCAGTGTCAGTCGCAGCCGTCGCTTGAACTGCAAGATTTCACTTTCGATTCTTCCATTGGCAGGAGCATCATCGCCAGAGGTAAAGGTCTGGTACAAACCTCTGCGGCCTGCCCATGCTCGAACAAGTTTCGCCAGCATCTCCTTGGCGCGATCAGAGTGCAATCTGACCATTGGGATGCCCAAAGCACGAAAGCGCACCCAAACTCTGTCCAAAGCAGGTAGCAACTCGCTTGTAGAGCGACTGCCCAAAGGTTCAAACAAGGTGACATTCTGAATCTTGAAGGGAGCGGTGGCTTCTTCCATCTGCTCTCCCCATTTTTTATTCAGCTTCTTCCCCAGTTTTTTCAGATCTTCACTGATCCCCCCATCTTCTCCTTCATGTTCTTCAGGGTCTGGGACATCTCCCCCCAATTCTGGTAGCGGAGCAAGAGGGTCAGCTGGAAGAGCATCACCTAGTTTTCCACCATCTTTTTCATCATCACATCCATCACTTTTTGACGGAACAGGTTCGACAGGGCCTTCATGAACCTTTTCACCATGAGCACCTGAACCTGGAAGACATTCTTTAGGGCTGTCACCTCCACCGCAATGTGGAACTTGACCAGCCCGTTGAACTTCTTCTGAATGTTGAACTTCAGGACCTGGAAGAACATCACAAGGAGGTTGATCGCCTTCAGCATGTACTTGACCATCCACTATAGGAATCGGCACCGTAGCAAGCAGCGCATATTTGGCTTGACGGCCAGTTCCATAGTCCCATCCTTTCACAAGAGGACCAGTGATGTCAACCGACAACACATAGGCTGATTCACCATTGTGGTGAGGACCTCGACGTCGATGTGGTTCTCCAGCACCCATTTCTTGTATGCAGAGACGACAATCACGGCGGTAAGGCGTATGATTCTGCCTCACATGCTGTCGCCACTCATCCAAAGACAAACGTTTGAGGCCAGCCGCAGGCATCTGTTTGATTGACTCCTTAATAGCCTGTATCAACCCCGGAGCCCATGACGACCAGGAAGAGGTCTGTTTGAGACGTTGTGGAAGATCTGCAGCAAGCGGCTCAATGCCCTTCTCATTCTTCCCACAGCGCAACCCCTGTAGTTCATCCATACCTGGCAGGCTCGTCAGGAGGTTGGTTGGTTTTCGTCGGCTGTGCCCACATTTTCCTTGATCAAAGGAGACTGTTTTCATGTTGAACTTCTCCGCAAAGGCCTTGAGTTCTGGCCACTCCCATACGCTTGGCATTTCCCTGGACTCCTGTTCTCCAAGGTACGCGCACGGGTCTTCAGGGTGCTCGAGGAGAAACCCATTGGCTCCTGGTTGACTCTCCTCCATTGTTTCGTAGAGGGCCGCCATTTTCAGGACCAGTGCTGTATCTCCATGAGCCTTTTCGGCTTCCAACACACTCAGGTCAGGGAGAGCCCATCTGTTTTCAGCTCTACATCTCACCGGTCGTGGGCCGGGTGGCTTGTGTCTAAGCCTTGAAAACGTTCTGCATGGTGGCCCACCCAACAAGACCCAGCTTCTGCAAATCCAACCGCTTTCTGCTTGATTCCTTATCCCCAGAGAAGAGGTGCAGGACAATGGCTTTGGCCGATTCCAGCTGCCTACGTCTCCGACGGTTCCAAGGTAATCCTTGAGGACAGTTTTTCCAGTCTGTGAACTGGCCCTTCATGAAGCCGATGACAGCGTCAGGAACCTGTGGGTATCGTTCTTTCCACCAAGTTCGAACTTCTTGACCAATTTGGGTCGTCGCCTCATCGTCCTCCAACATTTGTAAAAGAGCAAGACCATCATCTCGATCCATGACTGGACAACCTTGACGTCGCCAGCATTTGATAGATCCCTTTGTGGGATGCCAAATGGAAACTTCAGAGGAACTCCACTTGAGCTGGTAGCCAGTCTCAATCAGTTGACGGACAGGGATGATTGGTTCCACCTCCTCCTTCGCCAACAACGTGCTACATCCAGCCTTTCTGAACAGGGACGTACTCCCATGAGCAAGTTCCACAGTCACCACTTCAGCACCTTCAAATTCATGAGGCAGTCCTCGACGTAGCCCATGAGTGGCTCCACCGTCAAGCAACGCCAGTTTTTGGTCACCTCCAAGAAAAACACCATTGGCCTTGGACTCGATGTACCTCAAGTGAACTGCCTTCAGGCTCTGCAAAGACTTCACAAGCCCACTCAGGTCTGACACCAGAGCAGCAGGGACAGCAGGCTTGACCTCCTCAATCACCACCTTGGACTTCTCCTCAGAAACACCATGCGAAGACGATGAAGTCACCGTAGATCCATGTGAAGAACTCGGCAAAGGCGTCGTTGGTGAAGACGTCGTAGTTCCCTTTGATGCACCTTTTCCATGACCTGTGTTCTTGGGACTGCCACCCTTCTGATCTTTCACCTTGGAGATCTTCGTGGGAGACCCAGAGGAGTCACGTTGACCATATTCTTTCTGTTTGAGGTGAGGACATTCAGGTTTCATGTGCCCTTCACCAGAACAATTCCAGCATCGACCCTTTCGTTGGATGCCGTCCCAAGAGTGCTCAAAAGCACAAGATTCACCTCGGCGACAACCAGCCGTGCTCCCCCAGAAACGACATTTTGACTTCCCCTTCCCATCATCGTTGGAAGCAGGAGACCCTTCAGACCGTAGGGCAGCAGCCTTGATCTGCTCCTTCTTTTTGGTGTCCTGAAGTGATGCCGTCGTGGTAGAAGTCGGTGAAGCGCTCATCAGTGACAACTGCTCAGCTTCGGCCTGTAACGCCTCCGCAAAGTCAGCAACCTTGACATTCGTTGGGATGAAGTCCAACTGCAAGTCTTGTCGAAGCGACGACATTCGGTAAACCGTCTGAGGTCCTCCAAGGCGTCCAAGATGGTCCGACCACCGTCCAAGAACTCCAACCAAGATGAGTGGATCCGGAAGTTGAATTCCCAGCTCAGCTGATCTTCCCAAATTCCGTCGCCACACCCGCAAGGTCTGCAAGAGCTCGTGGATGTTCGCATTGGCACCCAGTCGATTCTCCGTGAGGTCCTTCAGCAAGCTCGTCTTTTCATGAACTCCACCTGGTTGAAAACGACACAGAAGGGCATAGAGGATCTCCACGCTTTGCAGCTTCCTGGACGAGATCAGTTCGCGCCGAATCGGGTCCGGGACAGCAGCCAACAACATGGTCACAGCCCATTGAGGTTCTCGCCAACGCTCACCACAGGCGCAGGCGTGACCGATGCAGGCACAGCTGGACCAGGAAGGCTAGGAAGACCCGGAGGAGTCACCAAATGGCCAAGAGCCGGATCCACAGGGGTTTTTGAACCCTGAACCACACCTACTTCCCCCAAAACACTTTGGAATGAGCCACTACCGCTATTTTCCCCTTTACGTTTTTCCATTTCCCTTTGAATTTGGGCTTCAACTTCTTTAAAACCCTGAACCCTAAGAGCCTCTAAATCCAACAGGTCTTTGTGGGTTAAACCATCAGCTGTTTTCACCCGTCCTGATGACAGAGCTCGTTGGGCACCATCGCCATGTGGTCCACTGGCAGCATGTTGGTCGCCTCCAGCCATAGCCCGATCGCTCCAAATTCCGTTCGCCCCCAACACCATCTGGTGTCCTCATCACGGCTTGTACCCCATGAGGATCAGAAGGATGCCGAAGAAGTTGACCAGAGCCAGGTTGATGTCCAGCACGTTGCACCAGTGCAGAAGGATGCCCTTGTTGGTCAGCACCTCCATGCGGTCCAGCAGGACCCAAAACCACAGGATCTCCTTGTGGAGCAGGGGGTAGACCTTCAGGTCGAAGCACCAATGGCTCCAAGCCGCCGGCAGGAAGTGCAAGAGGACCCAATAGACCTCCGTACGTCACCAACCCCTTGAGCTCTTTGATCGCCTCGTTGGCCTTCACCTGGATCCATGCGTCCAGCTCGTTCTGCTTGTTGTTGGCCCCCTGGAAGATGTTCAGGTCGCCTTCCTGCATCCACCAGAGCAGCCGGCGGAGCAGCCTGCCACTGCAGCTGCACCGCAGTCCTCAGGACTTCAGCAGCTTGTCTAAGCACGGCCTGTTGGTCTGGTGACAAACCCTCCATCACACCTTGGCCTCCCCCGTTATGACCTGGCTGTGGGCCACCAGCTCCAGCCACGACCACCTCTTGGGCTCCACCTTCAGGTTGGGCTTGCGCACTTCCTTCCAACACCCGCACTGACCTCACTGCGGTGGTTCCTGATGAGGAGTTGTTCAGGTCCTCCATCAGGTCAGCCATCATTTGGTCAGCAGTCCTTTCATCTGCTGCATTTCCTCCACCATCAGCCCCATCAGCTGCTCGTCGGCGTTGCATCAGAGACATGGCTTCAGAACCTCTTTGGGCTCATAACCTGCGGTTACGAACGGGGGCTTCGGGTATGGGTCTTAAGTGCTAGAGCAACCCTTTAGGTCCCCAAGACACCTGCCCAATGACGAAAGCTCCTATTTCTTGAGCCATGAAAAAGTCAGAGCACATAGTTGTGCGTGTCATCCTGCAGGGGTCCATGCTGCTTGCATGTGCACAGTGCCAAACGCAAGAAGAATACTTTCTACGCCCTTGCTCTGAAGACAGTTCTGATGCAGCTGAACTATTCGTAAATGACCAAAATAGATCCAGATTGCGACAACAGTGCAGAAACCGTAAGTTTCAATTGGACGCCATGGAGGTTCTTGGGTTGAGCCTCTTCCCATTTCTGAAAATTGGCAGGTACGTCACTGGACGTCTCCAGTGATATCAGTGTCTCATGCAAGCCTCTTCGTTGGGCTGGTACTTGCATGGACAACCAGCCCCCCTGCTGAATTGGAAAATCCAGTTCATGATTGAAAAAACGAGTCAGTAGAAACGAAACAGCCAAACCATCGCTTAGAAGTTTTACATCTTTTCAGATGGTCCACACACACGCCTCGCTGCCGCAAGGCTGTTTTGGCAACTAAGGTCCCGACAATGAGATGAAAATGAAGAAGGGAAATAAAAATGAGGTGAAGATGACAATGAGATGAAAGTTACTTAACCAGGACGCAAAGAGGGGAACGCAAAAGAAGAGGGAAAGAGCAAACACCAACACATGAAACCTAGCCCAAAACGGGCAACCCTGGAAAGGCAAGGGAAAAGAAAAGCGGAGCCCGACGGAAAACGGAACAAGACCAGCGGAGGAGGGGGAAGACAGAAGCGCCTGAACCAACCTGACACGGCGCAAACCTACAACAACCTCAGCACGCAACGGGCCAAACCTACCTGGAGAGAGGAGAACGCAAGAACACATGAAATAGGGACCCATGGGGAACTAGTTACTGACATGATGCATCCACAACTCATGGAAGATTCGTGATAAGGCTCAAAGGCCCTCGGCTTTCAAGTCACAACCCTCTGGACGGCTTACGTGTTCAACCCCTGAATTACGTGCACAATTGAACCTCACCAACGACCATAAAAAGAAAGAAAAACCACACCTAAAGCAAGTCCTGTTGCCTGATCATGAAAGAAAAGGTGAAGCCAGGCACAGCGGCATGTTGTTCAACACATCGACATCGACAGGTGAGACCTGGAAAAAAGGCCGACTGTTTCACATTACTTACACGAATTACTAATTCAAAAGTGTAAATTCAGACATCGTTTTACTGTCAATTGTTAGCCTGGAAAGGCTTTCCCCGAAGGGTTCCTGCCAACTTGACGTACACAGCAGGAATGACACACTTGCTCAGAAACATCATTGCGAATTTCTGTTGTGGAATGCATCTCACGTGCACAAACAATTCAATAAAACCTGACAGGAAAAATTGGTTGACCCAGCGTGAAATTCAGTTAGAAGAATACTTTCTACGCCCTTGCTCTGAAGACAGTTCTGATGCAGCTGAACCATTCGTAAATGACCAAAATAGATCCAGGTTGCGACAACAGTGCAGAAACCGTAAGTTTCAATTGGACGCCATGGAGGTTCTTGGGTTGAGCCTCTTCCCATTTCTGAAAATTGGCAGGTACGTCACTGGACGTCTCCAGTGATATCAGTGTCTCATGCAAGCCTCTTCGTTGGGCTGGTACTTGCATGGACAACCAACCCCCCTGCTGAATTGGAAAATCCAGTTCATGATTGAAAAAACGAGTCAGTAGAAACGAAACAGCCAAACCATCGCTTAGAAGTTTTACATCTTTTCAGATGGTCCACACACACACACACACACGAGACCCAAGACGAAGACAGACGTCGCACGATTGGAGTCAACGCGAAAACAAAGGCCAACTGTTTCAGCTAATCCGCACCTTCGTGAAGAAGGTAGGCGTATGAAAAGAAAACGCAAGTGAAGTAATATCACTCATGCAACTCATCTCAAATTCAAAGCT